ACAAACACTTGCCCTAATGGTATTTAAAAGAAAGTGCTGGAACTTTCCAGATATCTACCAGTTCAGCAGATAATGAGATGCTTATGAGATCTGAGATCATCCTTCTGCAAGCAACTGAGATATATTCACAAACTTGTGGAGCTGCAAGCTAAAAACTCTTGTAGATGACACTGGTAGCAATGCTATACCCTACTCTAAAGCACTTAAAATTCAGGCATCATGCTGGATGATCAGCCCATTCCCAGGTACTCCTTCTCTTCTAAGTGTCCCCACAGCACCACCACTACCACGCAATGACTTAGTAATTAAGTTTTGCTGCCTGCCCTGGCTGTAATAGGCAATACTACCCTAAACTATAGTCTTCACTAGAAGAGATTATTCATAGGGCACAAAGAAGGGGATTTCATACAACAGGATCCACAATTCTAAAGTGCCAAAGCCAGGGAGATTTGCATCACTCAGCAAGATTTCTGAAAAAGCTAGTAGAGATGCAAACCATAAAGGTAACCAGTGAACACAATTTTATGCCTTCATCTTCACCTCTTTCTGAAGGCCTAGGACACAGGCAAGATTAGTACTCACAGCCCTGGTCCCTGTCCTTGATGTACATAGCTAAGCTTTTCCCATCAAAACAGAAGTAATATATTCTTTTAACTTGCCAGCAGGAGGAAAATGATGTGCTCTTATTTTGTCCGGCAGCATGGGGTTACAGCACAGTAACCTGGAACAGAGAAGTCTGAAAGCCAATCTCTGCTCTGTCAGAACAGATTCAAACCACAATTTCTCAGCAGGCTCCATGTTGTACTGGGAAGATGGGTCAACTCATGATTTCTCATTTCAGTGGCAATCTTCAGAACATGGAAGAAAAGCTTTGCTGGACAGAGGAGAACCAGCAGTGTGCATGCCTCTCTAGGGAGAAGGGCATCCAAACGAGAGAGACAAGTCCTGGTTTCCAGTTCTTAATAACATTTAAAGTTTTAAATGGAAGAAAATATAAAATAGTTTTTGGAACACAGGCACTCCTCTCCTTTTTCTCCAAGAAAATAAGTGGCCTAGTATCGCTCCTTGGCCCAATTAGACTTTAATCATCTTGTACACAAGGAAAAGTGGATTTTTAGGGTTTGGGGTTTTGTTGATTTGTTGTTTGGTTTTTGGTTTTTTTTTTAAGGCGACATCAACAAAACCTCTTCCTCCTCCCCCCTTTGTGTTTCTGAACAAAAGGGAGAGTCACCACAGGCTTTTGGTCCCAGTCCAATCCCATAGGTGTGCCTGAGGTGTGGTTTGAACATGCCTTTGGACAAGTGAATGCCTAATTGACAGATTGCCTAATTTATGAATAGTAAACAGATTTAGATGCCAAGATGCTCAGTTGTGACAAGATTACAGAAGATCTGAGTGAGAACAAAATTTCAAGGTGTTTGGAAAACTTTACAAGTGAAAAACCTAAAGACCTGTAAAATGTAGCCAAAATAACATACATTAAAAGCCTTCTCAGAGATACCTGCAAATACCCCTTTTTAAAAGGACCTCTATAGAAGAACAAGGTCATGTGTATTTATTTTTAAAATCTGCTTTAAATGGATCTGTCTTACTTCATGAACTGTTTTCTTCTGATTTAACATAAGCACAATATTCTAGCGCCATTTATCTTGTGGTACCAGGCAGTCATTATGGGTAAAGTAATATTAGCTTCAAAATTGAAGCTCTCTCATGTACTCTGAGATTATTAAACACATAGTTGTAAGGACAAAGCATTTAAGTAGCCACAGTTATGCCTAATTTAGCTACATTTTTAACAGGAAGATGAGGAATGCCCACCGTATCTACTAAGGTTCATAAGATTCATGCTCTAAATACATCTTTATCAGTCTTGAATCTCATAGGGTATATCTAACTTTTAAGGCTCTATATTTAATAAAATATTAATACTACTAATGACGATTTTATAATACACTCAGCAATGTCCTCAGAATATCAGTGCAGACTAAGAAAACTAATTCAGTGATTTTAATGACAAAATGTAACAGCTGGAAAGAGTCCAAAGCATGCAATGCTAAACTGCTGAAAGAATCTGAGAACCAATGAAGTCTTGTTCTTTCCACATAATATTAAATATATGAGAACCACAGAGCATCAAAACTTTTTACATATATGATTATACGTTCTGAAAGCGGCTATAATTAAGAATTTATATTATATACAAAAAGTATGGTAGGAGAATATTAAGGCTATAAAATTAAACACTCAGGCACGAGGTATGCCAAAATTAAAGTGGCCTCTGCATTACAAAAGAATTTTGTGGCAGCAGTAGGGGTTGAGAATTCAATCCTTCAGGGCAGCACACTGCTGCATTAACCATGACTCTCCTTCCTCTTCCGTGATTTTGCATTTCACATCTTTAACTCCTGTAACAAATGAACACTGGAATGCCTGACAAACAGTTTCAAATTATTACAGAATGCCATTAACTGAGTTAACAAAATAACCAACTGCAATAGTAAGTTGTTTGCCCCAGGTGGACCACCTGCAGAAGGGAACGGGGGATATAGCCAGATTTGCTTGTGGCAGAGCTACATTGAGACACTGAAATCCTTCATTTTAGAGTCTGCTACGCGACTGAAGGTGTGCTTCCTATACCTCCTTCTATTCTGAAGGACCACTAAATTTGAAGTAATGATACAGATACTACTAGTAATTCAGTATTAGCAGAAGATGAGCGAGACAGTTGAAAGGTTTGGCCTGTCTATCTGTAGTCTCTCAGATATTTCTTTTCCCCGCCAGAGGTAAAGCTACCTTAAAACAGCTACTGCTTTCCCAGCAGCCTGGCGACTCTCTCCTGTTCTCGTGCCACCCCTTCAGTGGTGCCAGTACAGCCTTTTACAGGGTGATCCAGCTCAATTAACATAGAAAGGTTAAAAATACCTTGCAAAATAAATAAATAGAAGGTAAGACTGGCAGGAACAACTACTACTGCCTTTGCTATGCAACTATCTACTAATAGCATCTATTCTCGGAAACATTTCTAGATCTGCTTTATCATCTGGCCTTTATAATTTCTAGCATTCATACGGAAACAAGTACTTTAAAAAGACTGAAACACTAAAATGCACTTTTCTTTACTTCAAACATGTACCAAAGTCTTTTCCTCAAGAAAAACTAATTCATTACAATGTGATGAAAAGGAAGGCACCTTAGCTGTAATTCCACTTCTTTCTAATTATGTCGTGTATTTTGTATGAAAAACTGTATTAGGGTACTAATTTTCTATTCTAAGAGAACTGTCCATATTCTTCAATCTACTAAATTAGGCTGAAGCTGTGAGGCTTTAGACAACAAATTATACATCTCTCCTAAAGGGGTACATAGCTAAAAAGGACCTGTTTTCAAAAGATGAAGCTACTTAGAGAAGAAAATTGCATTGTTGATTCACAACTATTTTCAACACAAGCCTATTATTTTTAGTAAACAAATTCACAACTTTCCAAGCTGATAAAAACATTTCATATAAAGAACATGTGGGGAGCGTGGGGGTCTAATATCTCTACTACTAATTTATATCTTAAACTTTTTGCACAAATTTAGAATAGGACCAAAAAAATAGGAAAAGCCCAAAGCTCTCAAAAGCACCAATTTCCTTGGCAAGGCTAATCCATCCATGAAGATTCATGACTTCAGTGAAATTCTATACTAACAAGATAATTAACCAACACTACAAATTAAATTTAAAGTAATTACCAGTCAGTTTTTAAATTGCTGAGTACAAAAAGTATAAAATTAGCTACAAAAGAGTTTATGGGGCCCTTAGAGCACTAATAAAGAAAACTCGCTGCTTTCCTCACATCCTTTTATTTTACCAATATGCATTAAACTTTTCTATGCAAGACCGTGAAGCAGCAGAAGAAATAAAAAACAAGACATGGCTGAATGACATCTTAAACTATTAAATATCAACCCAGGAGGTTTTTTTTCCCCTGTTTGGACTGTTTCTTAAGATGAGGTAACTCTTGCCTTACCAGCAAAATCCTCCGACCTTAAAAACACTAGTACCCACATTCAACCAAAAAACTTTAACCCAAACATGTAATGTTTGGTAATATGAAAGCAGCGTCTGTAACACTTTTGAGAAAGTATCTTAAACGGATATATATGATAATTGATAGTTTATTAAAAGAAAAAAATTTGCAGTTACTTGTCCTGTCAAGTAGACTTCCTCTGTTACAGTAATCAAATAGTGTCTGATTTCAAATAACAGGCCCAAGATCCACAGATATTCACGGACAAAATCGATTTCGTTCCTGTAAGATTGAACAGCGTGAAACAACTGCAACTGCTCATATCAAACTTTGCCAGGACTATGGCAGTTGAGGTGTATTTCTCAAGTACTTCTTTCATTAGAGTATTTGCTTAAACAATCTTCTTGCCTTCTGGCACACCTGTCACCCACAGAAATGATCTAGGTTAAATATAACCACATTTTAAAAAAAAAAAAAAAAAAAAAAAAAAAAAAAAAAAAAAAAAAAAAAGAGGTAGTTAATTTTAACCTGGATCATTTCCCCAACCGGGTTACGGGACACGGTTCCATGAGCCGTTGTGCTGGTACAGCTGAGGAGGGCAGCAAAGAGGTGAGAGCTGGGAGCACGGAACAGACAGGCCTGTTTAAGTCAACACCGCAACCAAAAGCACCCGCTTGTCAAACTGTGTCATCAAAAAAAATACTTACTTGAAGGATTTAGAGGATCAGGATCTATGATCACCCACTCCGCCTCTACATGCCACTTCATACCCCAGCTAGAACTGTATCTGACTTCCCTTGTGCCTCTTAGTAGGTCAACTTTTAACACGCAGATGAAAACAACGGCCTTATAAAAAACTCACTACAAATATGTTTGATTAGTTTACAAGCACTCCTCCTCATAAAAAAACCAAAACATTTCAAATTTGTCTCCAGGCCTAAAACACCAGGAATTTGAAAGTGAAGCCAACTAAAAATCCCAATCTACCTTAACAGAAGAATGAAGTGCCATGGATTTCCAGTCCCTCGCAGGTCTTATTTCACACACGCACGCACAGCGTATTTGACACGCCAATTGTAAGGTTGCACGCAAGTCGGGAGAGGACCAGGGGCTACTGAGAAGTCCTCACGTTTAAGAGCACGAACACGTTGTAGGCACCGCAATAAAGTTATAAAAACCCAAACCAAAACAAAACCAACACCAACAAGCCCTCGAAGCGCTTACTCAGCCCCGCCCCCCGCAGCTCCCGTCCCCCTGCCGCAGCGAGA